CACAAGTTTATAACCGTTAACAGATTTAAAAATTAAAGCTGAATATGAAATAAACCCTGGAGAAACAAGGCAGACTGATTTGAGAAATACTCCTATATATAGGGAGCTGTTGGCCATTAACACTTATCTGAGGTTTTTAGTAGGGAAGGAAGATAAAAAGGAGTTTATTTCCCTGCATTCATTACAGAAAACCATTCTCATCTCATAACAGAAGATAAAGTTCTCATAACAGAAGTTCTCATAACAGAAGATAAAGAATACCAAGTAAATAACAAATATTAATGAAGTATCCATTATTTAAATCAAGAAAGATTTCACCTTTCTATATATGACAAGATACAACATTGAAGGAAAAAAAATATGTATAGCTTATTTTCTTAAGGAAATTATAATCAGCAGTCATTGGTAATAAGGGAAACTCAAAAAAGCATTAAGACATGTTGGGTGTGGTGGCACACACCTGTAACCCCAGCACTCAGGAGGCTGAGGCAGAAGGATCAGAAGTTGGAGGTCAGCCTGGACTATATAGTACATTCAAGCCCAGTCTGAACTATATAGATAGACCTTGTCTCAAAAAACAAAATAAAAAGGCATAAACTATGGTCCTAAACATGAAAGCAAACTCTCTAAAAACACATACATACACAATTATACTTGTCTTCAATATAAACCAAGTGCTGAACAAAAGAGGGGGAAGAAAAAAATACAAGTGTGAAAAGCTTCCCCTGGAAGTTCTAGGACCAGACCCGGCCTCATGACATGAGAGACCTACAATAATTCACAATAATATCCCTCTAAAATACTGCTTCTCAATACTTCTATTTAAGTGAAACCAAATTACTCTCCAGTTTACTATCATTACTATTAGTTCTGTTTTGTTTTGTTTATTTTTTGAGACAGGGTCTTGCTATGTAGTTCAGGCTGGCCTTGAACTCACCATGTAGTGCAGGCTGGCCTCCAACTCACAGCTTCTAAATATACAGTATTTTAATTCAATTTTTATCTTTTTCAGATTATCTTCTATATGTTTTTGCTGTTAAAAATATTCTTTGATGAAATAAAGGAAAACAGTGGAGCATAGCTGACCTAGACAAATAAAAATCTTTCCTAGACCAAGAAAATAAAATGTGTAGGAACAATTTAACTAAGAGATGCTAGCAGCCATTGATATTTTCCTACTAATCTGTCCATAACTCTGTAATGTTTGTATTGTTCCTAT